ATTTTAATTTGCAGATGTAAGAAGTGACAGTGCACTAGGCGCTCTAAGACTTTAAACAGAAATGGGAGTATAGAATAGGGCGATAGTCTGAGAAGGTTGAAGGAGTCCTCTTTTTTGCTATAGGGATTATGTGAGCATCTTTCCACAGGGAAGGGAAGACACTAGAGGATATGGAGTTATTGAGTATGAAAGTAATAGTAGGAAGGATTATTTCAAGGATTGGGATGATCATTTTGCGACTAACGCTATCATTCCCTGTGGCATTCGACGTAATAGCTAATATATTTTTCTTAACATCACAATCGGAGAATTGATTGAAAGAACGTGGGAATATTAGGCGTTGGAATAGCAGAGAGAATGTTTAAAGTATTTACTTTGTCTTGTAGTCAAAACCAACGGAAGAGCAGAAATGTTTATTAAGACTTTCGATATTTATATTGTTATTACTAGAATTTTGATTTTTTCCAACTCCCAAAGATTTGAGAAATCTCCAGCTCGAGCTCGAACATACATGTCATGGAATTTGTCAGGATTGGCTCGAAACTTAGCCTTAGCCCTACATTTTCTCGCCTGAAGAACCTTTATATCTTCCGTAAGCTAAGGCGCAGGAAGGTGTTTGACCCGCACAGGACGAACAGGATCGTACAATTTTAAAAGGAAAGAGTTAAAAAGGTGTAATTGTTCATCGACTGTGCTAAGTTCCGAAATCGCCAACCAGTCCAAAGAGGCAGCATCTACACGCAATTTCTCCATATCTATGGTATCAAAACTACGCCGCATTATAACTTTCCGTTTGTTTTTAGGAGGGCGGATTTTGTACGAGACATAGATTAGGTTATGGTAAGAAAAAGCATCAGCAGGGCACTGACCATGCCTAACAACATGTTCAAGAGAGGATACAAATAAAAGGTCTAACAGAGAAGGATTGGAGTTAGGGAAAAAATGAGTAAGCTGGAGAGGAAGAATATTGAGATTGCATGATGTGGCAAGAGATCTGAGGCGTTGAGCGCGGTAATCATTTTTTAACAGACACGTATTAAAATCACCCATGAGAATAGTGTGATTGTGAGAAGGAATAAGGTTTTCTAGAGTATTTTCAAGAAGAGCGAAATAGTCAATTGATGAATTGGGACTGTAAAAAACACCTAGAAGTAAATTAGAATGGGATAGGTAAATTTCAATGAAAAGAAATTCTGGCTCATTAGAGGGGTAGGAAATAGTAGACGTACTGACAATTTTATAGGGAATATAGGAACGTAGATAAATGGCAACTCCTCCACCACCTCCCACTGTTCGATCATTACGGATAAGAGTGAAACCTGGTAGTACATATAAACTAGATGGAAGACACGGTTTTAACCAGGATTCCGATATGAGTACGGCATGCACATTTTTTACATCAAAAGATGTAAGCAAATCCGGATAGTGCGCTGGAATGCTTTGTAAGTTAATATGCAATACATTAAAATTTTTATTTGTGTTATCAAAATTTATATCTAGAATTTCGTTCAAAGGAATAATCTCACTGAATGTAGAATCATAACTAGAATTGGAGGAAGTTGCATTGGAACAAAGAGAGTTTCGTCTCGACATGTGAATAATATATATAAATATATAATAATTATAGAAAATAGTATGTAAAAATGCTAATATTTTAAAACCTAACTATAATTATACGTATAATTAGTAAAAATCACGGGATCTTACCACGTTTTATATTTATTTACTGAGTTCCCGATATTTCGGTAGTGTTTCAACCACCATGATCACGGGTAAACTGAAGAGCAGCGGGTAGATATAAAACGTGGTAAGATCCCGTGATTTTTACTAATTATACGTATAAATAATGACCGCGTCAAGTTTAAAACAGTATCTAACTATAATTAATATCAAAGTCCTAAAACAACAACAAAATTATCTACCTGCTAGTAAATTGTAATAAATTTTACATAAAAAAAGAAGAGAAATTAATGGAGCACAACAATATATCAAAACATTGACCAAAAAAGAGACGACAACGGAACGTAAACATCGCAACTCTTGTACTGACATTTGACAGCTAAGTCAGGTGTCATTCATTAAATGAGTGACATTTAAAACAACAACAATAAAATTAATATATGTCACATATGACATTTTATGACAGAAATAAAACTAAAATTAATTGACATAACAGAAAACAAAAGTTAATATAAAACAAAATAAAAGAGGGTAAAAATATTAAAAATCTACAATTTTTTTTTTTATACCACAGGGGACAAACGAGCATGCGGCTCACCTGATGGTAAGTGATTACCGCCGCCCATGAGCACCCGCAACACCAGGGGAATTACAAGTACGTTGTCGGCCTTTTAAAAAGGAATAAGCTATTTTCTTGAAGGTTTCAATATCGTATCGGTTCGGAAATACCATTGCTGGAAGGTGATTTCACAATGTGGTTGTGCGAGGCAAAAAGTTTCTAGAAAACCGCACTGTGGAAGACCGCCATTCATCCAGATGATCAGGATGGTATTTCAGTTTCTGGCGGGTGGTACGGTGGTGAAACTCAGCAGCTGGTATTAATCAGAACAATTCCTCAGAACACTCCCCGTGATGTGTGCGGTAGAAAATGCACAGAGATGCAATATCACGCCGCAAAGCCAATGGGTCGAGTCTGTCACATAGACGTTGATTACCAATGATTCTGGCTGCTCGGTTCTGAATGCGGTCAAATGGAAGTAGCTGGTATTGTGGTGCTCCCGCCCAGAGGTGAGAACAGTATTCCATGTGCGGCCGGATCTGCGCCTTGTATAATTGCAAGCGATGGGCCGCCGTGAAATACCGTCTCACTCTACTGAGCACACCAAGCTTTTTTGAGGCTATTTTAGCCTTGTCCTCCAAATGACCGCAAAACTGAACGTCACTGGATATATCAACGCCAAGGACCTCGAGATTTGGCTTCACATCAAGGAGAGTGTCTTGAAATTGAGGATACGATAAATGGATTCTTTTTAGCGGCAAACAATTAAAGCTATATTTAGAAGTGCTGTGGTGAATACGCGCCTGAGCAGCATTGTTACGTCTAAATGGGAATATACACAAACACTGTTTACAATCACTTTTTAGCACGCTTTGAGCGAGAATTACAGGCGGCCGGTTGTTTAGAGCTAGTGGCGACTGGTGAGGCTTGTGTAACCGACGGCGACGAACCGATCAGCTTATAAACCTCAGCAATACAGCCGACCCGATGCCTCGAACCATTTTCAGTAATAATGACAATAAAACCATTATGTGTCCAGCATTTTTTTACACCAAAATGCTGTCTAGCCGACATAAATGCGCTATGTCGAGACGCAGTTAGAAACTCCGACATTGTTATTCCACTACTCTTCAGTTTCGTCTTTGAATGCCACACCTCATTTCTTACATCCAAGTCATGGAATTTGACGATTATTGGCCGTGGTTTATCTTTTAATGACTGTCCTAGACGGGGACACCGGCGGATGTGGTCAGTAGAAAAGCCATCCACCTCGAGCCTGTCCGCAATCACTTTAGATACCACCTGAGGCACAGATTCTCTTTGAGAGTCCGGAATATCATGCAGTAGTAGAATCTTCTGGCGGGAGTGCATCTCTAAGTGATCCTGTTTTTGAGTCACTAACTCAACTTGTTGCTGTAGAGTAGTGAGTGCAGAGATAGTAAAGGACTGGAATATTTTGAAGTTTGACTCCAGTGAAGAAATACTTGCGGGCTCTGACTTTGCCTTCTGCAAGTCGGTCTGGACCTCCATCATTTTTTGGTTAAAATGTTCCATCATCTGCGCCATGGTGTTGTGTAGTGACTCCATAGTTAGTAAAATATATTATTGTTTGGTGAATAAAGAAAGGAGAAAATAGTTCTACAGGTAAATAAACACTGAAGTTATAATTTCATACAATAATTATAGTAAAAATGTCAAAATTATATAATTAAATTAATTTTCATTGAAGAGGTGTTAATATTTGGTCTTATGCGTTTCACAGCTACCCACGAAAAAAACATTACATATACACTACATATTACATATTATACAATTTCCTTTCTACAAATAATCTTCTAAATCCTCTTCAATCTGGTTTCCGTCCTGGTTATAGCCTGACTACAATCTGGCTCTAATCGAGATTACCGATGACATTCGACTTGGTATGGACAAATCGCAGCTGGCAGTGCTAACGTTATTGGATTTCAGTAATGCGTTCAATACCGTAGACTTTAATATCTTACTCAGTTTGCTACGTACTCTTAACATATCTCCAATGGTGATTGAATGGTTTCGTACTTACCTGTATGGGCGCCGGCAACGTATTCGTATTGATGATATTAGTTCATCCTGGTGTACAACGACTCGTAGCGGGCGTACCTCAGGGTGGCGTATTATCTTCTCTTCTCTTCGCTTTATTTATCAATTCTATCACACTTCATCTTCGTTCATCCTACCACCTCTATGCAGATGACCTTCAAATTTATTCACAAGCTGATCTGCCTAATATTAGCGATGCTATTCACGATATTAATCTGGATCTCGCCTATATATCTAACTGGAGCAAAGCTTATGGCCTTTATTTATTACTTCTAGATTAGACTTCAATCATCTACCACCAGTTACATTTGATGACCATGACATTAAATATTCCGTTCAGGTCAAAAATCTTGGAATTCTTTTTGATGAAAATCTGTCTTGGTCGCCACAAATTTCACAGTTGAGTCGGAAAATGTTTGCAGCCGTCGGAAGCATTAATAGATTGCGGAACTTCCTACCAGTGGATACCAAAACTGCGCTCGCACATTCCTTGTTACTTCCAATCCTAGATTATGCGTATTCCTTCTATTTAAATCACACTGAATAACAATAAAATAAACTTGAGCGACTCCAAAATATGTCCATACGATTCATATTTGGTCTCCGTAAGTATGACCACATTTCCAATTTTCGCAATCAACTCAAGTGGCTTCCCATTCGTCTTCGCAGGAATTTTCACATACTATGCCTTCTTTACACCATTCTTTTCCATCCCTCTACTCCAGAATATCTAAAAACAAATTTTTTGTTTCACTCTAAACCCCCCGGTTCTGCTTTGCGTAGCACCAGAAGCCTTTGTCTGGCGATCCCTGCTCACTCCTCTACATATTATTCCAACTCTTTCACTGTCCAAGCCATTCGCCTTTGGAACTCTCTACCGCTCTCCATTCGATCCGCTCAATCTCATGCAATATTTAAAAATCTCATTCTAAATAATTCAAGTCTAAGGTCTCATTATCTGTCCCTATAGCAAATTTTTTTTTCCTATTCAACTCTGAAATCTTCCAATATGTTGTATATATGTATGTCTATTCGTTTGATAATTATAGTGTCTTGTGTGTGCCATCTACCTCTTCTGTGTATGTTAGTCCTATCTTGCAGGTTGTCTGTAAGAAATTGCTTATAGCGATAAGACCGCCTTTTGTTCATAATTTTCTATTTATTGTTTTTTTTTTCTTATTGTATTTCTTCTATGTGCACAATAAAGAGTTTATTATTATTGGAGTGAATAGGTAGAAAGGACAAAGGAGCTCACCGGTGAATTCTTTCTTCGACTTCTCCCGATGATCCTCGGCGCTGGTTCTCTTTTCTATTCACTAAGACTAATATTTTTATAATGTTTTTCTTAAAACTTCTTGATCAACAGACACAACACATTACGGATTTATTCTCACTTTATGCGTTTTATTGTATAATAGTTTTGGAAAGGCGGATAGAAATTGAGCAGCGTTAGCGATGGCGGCCGGCGGTGAACTTGAACTTGAACTAACTGGGCGGAAGTCGTCTTTCTATTTCTTCTTGTCCTTTGACATGTTACATGGTTTCAGGAAGTAGGACAAGGAAGGACATATATGGGATGAGTATGCGTGAGTGAGACTGCTATGCAAATTAATACGCGCTTATGTTTCTATTATATTTGTAGTTAAAAAATGAATGAACGAGATGCGCGGCTGCGTGTGAGTGAAATAGAGTATTGGTCGAACTATCGCTGCGTAAGGAAAGTATAGGTAAAATTAAATAATGTTACGTTTCGACGTAAACAATTATTATTATTATTTTACAAAAAATCTCATCTCCCCTCTTAAGGAGAGGAGATGGCATCATACCCCCGGCAGAGGCACAGTCGGCCGGGGTTCAGGGCCCCAGGGACAGAAACCGGCGTACAATGCGGGCAGAATCTAACAGCACCGCTTTCTGCATCTTTCCCGGGAGTGAACCGCCCCGGAATCCCAACCGTCTGAGATGTTGTTCCAGACTGGTTGGGATAAGACCGTTCACCGACAAAACGATTGGAATGATTTCGGTGGACATCACCCCCCACATTTCGGTCACCTCGTGAGCCAGGTCGAGGTACTTTCTCTTTTTCTCAGTTTCGGCTTTCACGAGGTTCTCGTCATGCGGTATGGTGATGTCCACCAAAAACACCCTCGAAAGTGCCCGATCCATCACCACGATATCAGGTTTGTTCGCAAGAACGGTCCTGTCCGTGATGATGGATCGGTCCCAGTAGAGCTTGACGCTGCCGCTTTCGAGGACCGGCTGGGGCTCGTACTTATAGTACGGCAACCTCTCATTCGCGAGGCCGTACTTCAGAGCTAGTTCTTGATGGAGTATTTTGGCTACCTGGTTGTGTCTGTGCAAGTACTCAGTGTTGGCAAGAGCTGAACAACCCGAAAGCACATGTCTGAGTGACTCTCCGGGATGGCGACATGCCCGACAGATGTCCTCAGTGCCATCCTTCAGAATGTGCTTTCGGTAATTGTTCGTCTTAACCACCTGATCCTGTATTGCACAGACAAAACCCTCGGTCTCTCCGAAGAGATCACCGAACTGTAGCCAGTGCACGGAGGTCTTCGTGTTGACGTACGGCCCGTGAAGGGCTTTGAAGAACCTTCCGTGCAACTCCTTCTCTTTCCACACGGCCTCCCGCTGAGAGGTACCCAGGACTTCGGGTTTTCGCCAGTCCTCTTTAGCCAGAGAAAGAGGGGTGAATCCTTTGTCACATTCTATGACCTCTCTATGCAAACCCTCGTCTCTTTTCTCCAGAAAATATGTCCTGAGGCTGTCGATCTCGCGGTTGTGCATGGTCTTAACGCTTAACAAGCCTCGACCACCAGCCTTCCGCGGGATGTACAGCCTCATGACTGACGATTTCGGGTGATGCATTCTATGGAGGGTCATAGTTGTGCGGACTTTCCGATCCAGGGCTTCGAGTTCGGTTTGAGACCATCTGAGCACGCCAAAAGTGTAAAGGAGTACGGGTATGACCCAGCCGTTATATGCTCGGATCTTATTGGCACCCGACAAGGAACTTTTCAGTACTCTTGTAAGGCGCGCAAAAAATTCCTCACGGATTGACTGTTTCATATCCGTCTCCCTCACACCGATGTTTTGTGACATGCCCAGATACCGGTATGTTTCAGCGTCGGAGAGGGTTTTGATGTTGGAGGGATCTGTAACGATCCCTTCAGTTTGATTGACCTGTCCCCTCTGCACATGGAGAACCGCGCACTTGTCTATTCCGAGTGCAATCCTAACAGAGCTGCTATAATCGTTTACAATATTTAACAGCTCCGTCAGGCGTTCGACACTCGGAGCTAGTAGTTTCAAGTCATCCATGTACAGAAGGTGAGACACTCGTGTACCTCCTCTCCGATACTGAAATCCAGTCCCCGAATTCTCCAGTAAAGTACTGAGAGGATTCAGGGACAGGCAAAACCAAAGTGGACTCAAACAATCGCCCTGGAATATTCCCCTCTTAATCTCAATCCGGTCAGCGGTATCCGTTAATCGCTCGCCCTGGATAGACAGGATCGTCGTCCATTGCCCCATGCATGTCTCCAGGAACACCCGAACCGTACCGTCGATCTTGTACAGCTCGAGTATCCTCCGAAGCCATGAGTGGGGCACGGAATCGAACGCCTTTTTATAGTCTATCCAAGCAGCGGAGAAATTCCGACGGTTCCGCTTAACCACTTGGCCAGCGACAGCATCAATGAGGAGAAGCTCCTTCGATCCGCGGCTACCTCCCCTGCATCCGTTCTGAGCGCTAGATAGGATCTTGTTTTCGTACACATGACGAGAGATCTTAGCGCTCAGAACAGATGTTAACGTCTTATATATTGTCGTAAGACAAGTTATGGGGCGATATTTAGATGGATCCGCGGTATCGTCCGTCTTAGGAGCTAAATGAGTGATCCCGGTTGTAAGGAAGTTCGGGAGCGCACTGTTTTCGAGGGCACTCTGGAATTGCACGGCTAAGGTTGCATGGCTGGCCGAGAACGCCTTTAACCAGTAGTGTTGTTAGTTGTTAATCCGTCGATTCCCGGACTTTTCCAGTTCGGAGCCCGACGGATCGCAGCAACCACGTCCTCCTGCATAATGGCAATGACGTTCATCGGTGTTATTCGAGCACATGCTTCCTCAACACCGTGCATCCATGCGCCCTCCTCATGTTCCACAGGTTCAGACCACAGCTGTCGCCAGAAGGCGACGAAATTGGCTGTTTCGGGTCTTTGTCCTGTGGGCTGTAGTTTTGGGCGCTCCAAGTTTCTATAAAACTTCCGTTGATCACTCATAAAGAGACGATTCTGTTGATACCTCTCGACCCTCTCAGAGTACCGTCGGAGTCGCTTCCCCCATGCAGCGACCTTTTGCTTCAGGTCGTCTATACGCTCCGTAAGTTTTTGTCCGAAGTCCGACTGGAACAGACTTACACCTGTCCCAGCAAAGGCCTTTTTTACTGAGCGCATAATTCTCGGGCGTGTATTGCCCTCCCTGAAGCAGAGCAGTCTGCCAATGAGGACCCTGGCCTGGGTGATCCGTCGTTCAATCCTTCTTTTCCAGGCTGGTTTCGCATTATCCCTTTGGATATTACGTCCAGCCCGGGGCATTTTTGCGCTAGTATATCGGCATACTGCCAATGCAGCGGCAAAGAGGATTGAACTCGTCTCTCCCAGGTCACCGCTGCCCTCAAGGTATTGAGGCAGCAGTCCATTTGCGGCCTCAATGGCATCCCGCGTCGCCACATTTGGATGTAGCCGGGGAAGCTTCGGTCTCTCTTCAAGGGGAGTTCTTCGGATCTCTAGAATCGCCCCTTCTAGTATGCTCCTCATATGCTCTATATCCTGGGAAGTTGTTCCGTCCGCATCCGCTTCTGAAGGCCTTTCGGCAACCATCTCTACGTTAGGTAGCACGTCTGAGATGGGTTGCTCTACGGTCGTGGGGTCTGCTTCTGGAACAACTTCACTTCGCAATCGTTCGAGTTCGGTCGCGCTAAACATACCAGAGCGCTGTATGTACCGAACTCTATCGGCTAGGTTCTGTTCCGAGACGATTAGCTCCGGTAAAAGACGCAGAAACTCGCGGTGCATTACTGCCCTGTATCCTGTTCTGCCTGTTTCCGTCCCTGTAGCCCTGTAGAACGCTCGCATGAGGTCTTCATTCATGGCTCTCGACCATCTCATGCGACGTGTACCACCAGTGGCGGGCGCCGATTGCTGGGCCTGTGACGGCCCTGCCGGTGCCAAGCCAGCTGATGTCGATGGCAAGGGGTCGGACCGGCCAGGTGGTGTGGCCGGTCGGCTGGCTTGCATTCTGTCACGCCTACCGCCAGTTGTAGACGTGCCCCGGCGGCCCCCGGGCAGCGACCCTATTCCGTTTTCTTTATTTATACTCGCCATCTTTACAATTGCCATGGCCCCTTTGGCCGCGTAGGTTTTATATATACGCGTGACCGCCTTTCACGTGAGCTAGATGATCAGCTCGGACGCGGGGTTGGACTTTGAAAGGCTTTATTATTATTATTATTATTATTATTATTATTATTATCCAAAAATTCTCATCTCCCCTCTTAAGGAGAGGAGATGGCAACATACCCCCGGCAGAAGCACAGTCGGCCGGGGTTCAGGGCCCCAGGGACAGAAACCGGCGTACAATGCGGGCAGAATCTAACAGCACCGCTTTCTGCATCTTTCCCGGGAGTGAACCGCCCCGGAATCCCAACCGTCTGAGATGTTGTTCCAGACTGGTTATTATTATTATTATTATTATTATTATTATTATTATTATTATTATTAATATATCAGATATAGCATAATTTACATCGTCTAAATGATTACTTTGTCGACCAATTTTAAACACTAACGAAGTATCATCTGCAAATAACACTATATCTGCAACTTTCTCTACCATGTAGGAAGGTCATTAATATAAATTAAGAAGAGAAATGGGCCTAAGATTGAACCTTGGGGAACGCCCTTTTTAATATTAGTTCCTTTAGACTTTACACCATCAATATCTACAGTTTGCACCTTATCCTCTAGATAAGTCTTCATTAGATTTAGGTCATTATCTGTAATACCATAATGTTCGAGCTTGTACAAAAGTGTTTTTGATCTACTCAATCAAACGCATTCGATAGGTCACAAAAAACGCCGAGAGCATCCTGTGAGTTCTCCCGTGATTTGAATATATGTGTGTAATAAGCGCCACACCTGCATCAGTAGGTTGCCGGCGGTGAAACCATATTGCTGACTGTGAAGGAGTCCGTTATCCTTGAAGTATTTTAACATTTGGTTAAACATAATCTTTTCAAATACTTTACTTAGAACTGGCAAAATAGAAATTGGTCAATAGTTGCCTAGCTCAAATCTATCTCCTGATTCAAACAGTGGAATTAATTTGCTAAATTTCATTAGTTGAGGGAAAACGCCTTTATCAACACATTTATGAAAATAGTAGATAAGGAGCAACAATATCTATGAATGAATAACTACTTTAAGCGACATACCCCAGAGATTTTCCGTATTTTTTAAATTTAACTGTTTGAATATTTTTATTATATGAGGCTGACATGTGAAAATTTAAATGTTAAAGAGCAAGGGTCGACATTAGCCTCTAGTAATGTTTTTGCTCGAATTGGAGATGAGCCTAGAGATGATGTAATGTCAATCGGAATATTAGCAAAAAATCTTGGAAAATATGAACTATATCTTTTGTTGCTGTTATTAACTTATTGTCATATTTTAATGAGAATTGATTGCAGACCTTCCAGTTTCTTTGTTTATAATTCCCCAGATGGTCTTAATTTTGTCAGAGGACTGATTAATTTGTTTATTTATATAATTAGATTTAGCTGCAATATAAACTTGTTTTCATATTTCATATTTCGTTTATTAACCAATGTAAAAAACTTCTTTACATATATGGCAAGTCATAAGATACAGTAATTCATATTTATACAAATTCAATTCAATTACAATTACATTAATAAATAAAATTACATTAATTAACAAAATTACATTTTTAAATAAAATTATATTAATCAATAAAATTACATTAATAATAACTAATAACATAATATGTTCCGTAGTCACAATTACGACATAATTATATTTAGGTCTAAATACTCGCTAATATTATAAAAAGGATGTTTTTCAAAAAAAGATTTTATTTTAGTTTTGAATTGTTTTGGGGGTAATTCTCTTATGTGCATAGGTAGTTTATTATACATTTTGATTTTTATACTAATGCCTTGTTTAAAAGTTTTACCAAGTCTTGTTTTAGGTAACTGTATATTGCCTTTATTACGCGTATGGTAATTATGATTATCGGAAATCTTATTTAACTCATTGCTTTTATCGTGTATAGTCAATAAGCTGTGGTAGATATACAATGAAATTACAGTCATAATTTTTTCTTTTATAAAGTATGGTCTGGCTGATACGCGCTTGTGGAGACCACAAATAATCCTTATTGCTAGCTTTTGCTGCTTGAGTATTTTATTTATATCGGTAGCATTGCCCCAAATTGTCACTGCATAAGTAATTAAGGACTGAATATATGCGTAATATACAGACTTCAGCGCTTTTTTGTTAACTAATGATTTTAATTTACTTAAGGCAAAGTTGGCTGACGCGAGTTTATTACACAGTTTTCCGATATGAGATTTATGACTTAATTTATTATCGATAGTGTATCCAAGAAACGTTGTCTCTTTACTACAAGATCGTTGGCTTATATTTCCTATGTATGATTTGTTGGTAATGTTATACGTCATAAGAACATTTTTATCGGTATTAAGTATAATTCCATTAGATCTAAACCAATCATTTAGGATCGCTGTTACTGAATTTACTTCGTGTTCTAAAGTGTTTTTTGTTTGGGATCTTACGCCGTGTGTGTCATCGGCAAATAATGTTACAAGGCTATTAGGTGGTAGATTTGCCGGTAAATCATTAATATAGACTAGAAATAACAGCGGCCCAAGAATAGAACCTTGTGGTATTCCTATGTCAACTTGTGCTTTTTGTGAAACAATATTATTCACCGAAACCACTTGAATTCTATTACTTAAGTAGGATTTTATTATTTTTAATGTATTGCCTCTGAGCCCATAAAAATATAATTTGTCAATTAAAATATCATGTCTTAAACAGTCGAATGCTTTAGATAAATCACAGTAAATACTTGCACACTTCATTGACCCATCCAAAGATTCAAGAATATAATCAACTGTATATTCAATGGCCTTGGTTGAAGATTTATTTTCTCTAAAACCATATTGTGCAGTAGTAAATAAATCTTTACCTTCAAAGAATTTAACTATGGATTTCTTTAGGATAGTTTCCATAACTTTCGATAAAACAGGTAAAATACAAATCGGACGATAATTTGAAGGATCTTGAGTGTTGCCCTTTTTAAATATAGGTGTTATTTTACCAAATTTAAATACATCTGGAAACACACCTGTTTCTATAGAAGTATTAAGTACATGTAATAATGCAAGCGTTAGTTTTTCATTACTTAATATTAGTTTTATTATTTTAGAGTCCATATCGTAAATATCCTTTGACTTTTTACTTTTCAGCTCTCTCATAATTTTCTTCAAATCTTGCAGCGTAACTATTTCTAGATGAAGCTCGTGCTTAATATTTTTAGCATTATTGAGATATTGAATGTATTCTTTTTTGTCTATTTTAATATTACCACTTATACTTTTAGCAATGTTACAGAAAAAGTTCATTTTAGTGGACTTTATTTTATTAATGATTTGTGCAAATGATGCCTCTGGCATACAGTAGTTTAAAAAATCACCCTTAAGATGATACTTCAAAATAGACCCAAAATTACAGCCTGTTCTGTCAGAAAACACCATTGTGCTACTTTTAGGGTTATAGTCACGGGCACAAGTCCCCTGAACTTCATTTTTCAGCACAATCGAAACTGAATTATTATTTGGCAAATTTATATAATCACATGTACAATGTTTAGTCAACGACTCGAATCGGTCAGCGTTGTATTAATTGAATTATTACTGACATCAATCAAATCATCCATTGCTAAAATATGCTCCTGGATTTGTTTTTGAGAGATTATATTATCTCTCAATAACAAATCCAGGAGCATATCTAGACACGCGGTAGCGTGTCAAGCCGAGTTTCAAGTAAGAGAACTGGCGAGCAGCACCGTGTGTATATTTACACGAACCATTTGGAGCCAGTTTTGACCCCCTCATAACTCAAAAACTCTTTCACATAAACCTGTCAAATTTGGTTCATATATTGAGACTTGCGAGATAAATATGTGTTCCAAATTTCATAAGCATATCTCAAACGGTTATTTAGATATCGACGTCCAAATATCGTCATTTTTATCACTGATCAACTATAGATCAAAATTATAACCCACTTCCAGGTGACCTAAGAAGTTCAAATTTGGCATGCAGATAGGTAATTAGGTGAATATAAAGGAAAAAATCTGAAACTTGTAAATTGTTATCATTTTATTATAATTTTTCACTTTAATTGATTCTATTTCAACTTATATTGGACGAATACTAAAATTCTATGAAAACGTCGATAGACACCAATGAACATTGATGTTCCAAACTCTTTATTTTTGAAGTCAGGTAACTTGTATCAATGTCATATAACTATTGACTTTCCACTAACTTAAGTTAGTTAAGGTACGCAACCCCCCCAAACGGGATTCCACCACAGCAGTAAGGGTATCCCCACCCCCTCCTGCCCTCGCACAGAAAACAAACCGTAGGTTAGGTTAGGTTAGAGTTTTAAGTGACTGGCGCGCCGAGCGACGTTCCATGGGGGAGGCACCCGCTGGTCACGAGATTGAAGCGCGGAGGTCCGACTTTCGGCAGATCCTCAGGATCGAATGGCGGGCAAGGTTGATGAACCCGTCGGCCGGCCTGAGGACCATCGAGGCTGTCCGTCCCATCCTCAGGAAGTGGATGAATCTGAGAAAGCCACTGACGTACCGCATGACACAGATACTGTCCGGACACGGCTGCTTCGGGCGGTATCTGTGTCATGTGGCGAGGAAGGAGCCGACGACCGGCTGCCACGAATGCGGAGGTGTTGAGGACACGGCACAACATACGCTGGAAGAGTGTCCGGCGTTCGCGGATGAGCGCCGTGTCCTCACGCGAATAGTGGGGGACGATCTCTCGCTGCTGAATTTAGTGCGGAGGATGGTGAGTAGCGAGAAATTGTGTCTGGCGGTGAGCTCCTTCTGCGAGAAAGTTATCTCGCGGAAGGAGGCCGCGGAAAGGGAGCGGACTCGTCCCGCTTCCCTCCGTCGCAGAAGAGCCAGGCCTAGAAATGAGGGCGTACTCAACTCCGCTCCCTCTATCCCCCACTAGGGCCGGGGTGACTGCCATGAGGGAGGCAGTCCCCCCAATCCAAAGGCCCCGGAGGTGTGCGCGTGTACCCACACGCCTCCACAATGGAGTAGGGCGAAATAGGTCGCCCTAACCGTAAACGAGATGGGGCCTGCCCTGCCCTGAGCTGCCCGGAGCTGAGGTGGAAATGCACATGCGAATCCCTGGCTCCGGCATAGGCGCTCGTAGGTACACCGTGTGGCTTTTGGTGGGTACAAATCTCACACACCGCCCCGCCCTCCCTCCGGTGGGGTGACGGTCATTTGAAGATTTTCCACACATAAAAAAAAAAGAGTTTTAAGTGACAGGTTGAATTCCAATTCAGCTAACAGAGGAGCGGGGAGAAAGGGGGTGCTCGGGGAGAAAACCCCTCACACAGAAAACAAACTGTAGGTTAGGTTAGGTTAGAGTTTAATGATCAGTCAGTAGCGAGAGATCGTGGCTGGCGGTGAGCTCCTTCTGCGAGGAAGTTATCTCGCGGAAGGAGGCGGCGGACAGGGAGCGGGAGTCAGATCGTCCCGCTTCCCTCCGCCGCAGAAGAGCCAGGCCTAGAGGTGGGGGCGTACCCAACTCCGCCCCCCTCTATCCCCCACTGGGGCCGGGGTGACTGCCTTGAGGGAGGCAGTCCCCCAATCCAAAGGCCCCGGAGGTGTGCGCGTGTACCCACACGCCTCCACAATGGAGTAGGGCGAAATAGGTCGCCCTAACCACAAAACGAGATGGGGCCTGCCCTACAACATCTACAGGGCGGGCCGTCGCCGTCGGAGCTGGGGTAGAATGCACTTGCGAATCCCCTGGCTCCGGCATAGGCGCTCGTAGGTACACCGTGTGGTTTTTTAGTGGGTACAAGTCCCACACACCACCTCGCCATCCCTCCGGCGGGGTGACGGTCTTTTGAAGATTTTTCCACACGTTAAAAAAAAAAAAAAAAAAAAAAGGTTAGGTTACCCCGATCTCAGCCCGAAGCAGTTCGGGTTCCGAGAGGGGCGCTCGACGATCGACGCGATCTCGCGTGTGCGCTCCCTCTCGGAAGAGGCGACGTCCCAGGGTGGGGTGTTGTTGGCGGTCTCTCTAGACATTAAGAACGCCTTCAACACCCTGCCCTTTGCGACTATTAGGGAGGCGTTGAAGTACCATCGCGCGCCTCCCTACATTCGGGACGTGATCGGGGCCTATCTCGAAGACAGGTCTGTGCTATGCACGGGGCGGAACGGCGTTGTAGTGCCGAGGGAAATGCAACGCGGTGTTCCACAGGGGTCGGTTCTGGGCCCGATCCTGTGGAACATCGGGTATGATTGGAACCTGCGGGGCGCCCTTTTAACGGGCACTGACCTCGTGTGTTACGCGGATGACACCTTGGTCACTGCCCAGGGGCGGGACCTACTGGAGGCTACCCGCTTTGCCACGGCATGCGTGGCGCTGGTCGTCGGTCGTATAAGAAGGCTTGGGCTCCAGGTGGCGCTGGAGAAGACCGAGGTCCTGTGTTTTCATGGGCCTCGGCGTGCGCCACCTCCGGATGCCCAGCTGGTCGTCAGTGGCCAGAGGGTGGGGGTCAAGCCCTGTATTCGATACTTGGGGCTTGACCTGGACAGTCGTTGGAGCTTCCGCGCTCACTTCCGGAACCTGGTCCCTCGCCTTATGGCAGCCGCCGGCGCTCTTAGCTGGCTGCTGCCAAATGTGAGGGCCCGGGAGAAGGTTCCCGCCGCCTATACCTCGGCGTGGTGCGGTCCATGGCCCTGTACGGGGCCCCCATCTGGGTGGGGGCCCTAGGTAGGGAAAATGTGGCCTGCCTCAACAGGCCACACAGGGTCATGGCCATACGGGCCATAAGAGGCTACCGCACCATATCCGGGGAAGCGGCGGGTCTGCTGGCGGGGTCTCCTCCGTGGGACTTGGTAGCGGAGCTCCACGCGTCAGTGTATCACTGGCGCGCGGAGCGACGTTCCATGGGGGAGGCACCCGCTGGTCACGAGATTGAAGCGCGGAGGTCCGACTCTCGGCGGATCCTCAGGATCGAATGGCGGGCGAGGTTGATGAGCCCGTCAGCCGGCCTGAGGACCATCGAGGCTGTCCGTCCCACCCTCAAAAGGTGGATGAATAGGAGATGGCCACTGACGTACCGCATGACACAGATACTGTCCGGGCACGGCTGCTTTGGGCGGTATCTGTGTCATGTGGCGAGGAAGGAGCCGACGACCGGCTGCCACGAATGCGGAGGTGTAGAGGACACGGCGCAACACACGCGGGAAATATGTCCAGCGTTTGAGAGTGAGCGCCGTGTCCTCACACGAATAGTGGGGGACGATCTCTCGCTGCCGAATTTAGTTCGGAGGATGGTCAGTAGCGAGAGATCGTGGCTGGCGGTGAGCTCCTTCTGCGAGGAAGTTATCTCGCGGAAGGAGGCGGCGGAAAGGGAGCGGGAGTCAGATCGTCCCGCTTCCCTCCGCCGCAGAAGAGCCAGGCCTAGAGGTGGGAGCGTATCCAACTCCGTCCCCCTCTATCCCCCACTGGGGCCGGGGTGACTGCCTTGAGGGAGGCAGTCCCCCAACCCAAAGGCCCCGGAGGTGTGCGCGTGTACCCACACGCCTCCACAATGGAGTAGGGCGAAATAGGTCGCCCTAACCACAAAACGAGATGGGGCCTGCCCTACAACATCTACAGGGCGGGCCGTCGCCGTCGGAGGTGGGGTAGAATGCACCTGCGAATCCCCTGGCTCCGGCATAGGCGCTCGTAGGTACACCGTGTGGTTTTTTAGTGGGTACAAGTCCCACACACCACCTCGCCATCCCTCCGGCGGGGTGACGGTCTTTTGAAGATTTTTCCACACGTTAAAAAAAAAAAAAAAAAAAAAAAAAAAAGAGTTTAATGATCACCCCGATCTCAGCCCGAAGCAGTTCGGGTTCCGAGAGGGGCGCTCGACGATCGACGCGATCTCGCGTGTGCGCTCCCTCTCGGAAGAGGCGACGTCCCAGGGTGGGGTGTTGTTGGCGGTCTCTCTAGACATTAAGAACGCCTTCAACACCCTGCCCTTTGCGACTATTAGGGAGGCGTTGAAGTACCATCGCGCGCCTCCCTACATTCGGGACGTGATCGGAGCCTATCTCGAAGACAGGTCTGTGCTATGCACGGGGCGGAACAGCGTTGTAGTGCCGAGGGAAATGCAACGCGGTGTTCCACAGGGGTCGGTTCTGGGCCCGATCCTGTGGAACATCGGGTATGATTGGAACCTGCGGGGCGCCCTTTTAACGGGCACTGACCTCGTGTGTTACGCGGATGACACCTTGGTCACTGCCCGGGGGCGGGACCTACGGGAGGCTACCCGCTTTGCCACGGCATGCGTGGCGCTGGTCGTCGGTCGTATAAGAAGGCTTGGGCTCCAGGTGGCGCTGGAGAAGACCGAGGTCCTGTGTTTTCATGGGCCTCGGCGTGCGCCACCTCCGGATGCCCAGCTGGTCGTCAGTGGCCAGAGGGTGGGGGTCAAGCCCTGTATTCGATACTTGGAGCTTGACCTGGACAGTCGTTGGAGCTTCCGCGCTCACTTCCGGAACCTGGTCCCTCGCCTTATGGCAGCCGCCGGCGCTCTTAGCTGGCTGCTGCCAAATGTGAGGGGCCCGGGAGAAGGTTCCCGCCGCCTATACCTCGGCGTGGTGCGGTCCATGGCCCTGTACGGGGCCCCCATCTGGGTGGGGGCCCTAGGTAGGAAAATGTGGCCTGCCTCAACAGGCCACACAGGGTCATGGCCATACGGGCCATAAGAGGCTACCGCACCATATCCGGGGAAGCGGCGGGTCTGCTGGCGGGGTCTCCTCCGTGGGACTTGGTAGCGGAGCTCCACGCGTCAGTGTACCACTGGCGCGCGGAGCGACGTTCCATGGGGGAGGCACCCGCTGGTCCGGAGATCGAAGCGCGGAGGTCCGACTTTCGGCGGATCCTCAGGATCGAATGGCGGGCAAGGCTAATGAGCCCGTCAGCCGGCCTGAGGACCGTCGAGGCTGTCCGTCCCATCCTCAAACGGTGGATGAATAGGAGATGGCCACTGACGTACCGCATGACACAGATATTGTCCGGGCACGGTTGCTTCGGGCGGTATCTGTGTCATGTGGCGAGGAAGGAGCCGACGACCGGCTGCCACGAGTGCGGAGGTGTTGAGGACACGGCGCAACACACGCTGGAAATATGTCCAGCGTTTGAGAGTGAGCGCCGTGTCCTCACACGAATAGTGGGGGACGATCTCTCGCTGCCGAATTTAGTTCGGAGGATGGTCAGTAGCGAGAGATCGTGGCTGGCGGTGAGCTCCTTCTGCGAGGAAGTTATCTCGCGGAAGGAGGCGGCGGAAAGGGAGCGGGAGTCAGCTCGTCCCGCTTCCCTCCGCCGCAGAAGAACCAGGCCTAGAGATGGGGGCGTATCCAACTCCGCCCCCCTCTATCCCCCACTGGGGCCGGGGTGACTGCCTTGAGGGAGGCAGTCCCCCAATCCAAAGGCCCCGGAGGTGTGCGCGTGTACCCACACGCCTCCACAATGGAGTAGGGCGAAATAGGTCGCCCTAACCACAAAACGAGATGGGGCCTGCCCTACAACATCTACAGGGCGGGCCGTCGCCGTCGGAGCTGGGGTAGAATGCACTTGCGAATCCCCTGGCTCCGGCATAGGCGCTCGTAGGTACACCGTGTGGTTTTTTAGTGGGTACAAGTCCCACACACCACCTCGCCATCCCTCCGGCGGGGTGACGGTCTTTTGAAGATTTTTCCACACGATAAAAAAAAAAAAAAAAGAGTTTAATGATCACCCCGATCTCAGCCCGAAGCAGTTCGGGTTTCGAGAGGGGCGCTCGACGATCGACGCGATCTCGCGTGTGCGCTCCCTCTCGGAAGAGGCGACGTCCCAGGGTGGGGTGTTGTTGGCGGTCTCTCTAGACATTAAGAACGCCTTCAACACCCTGCCCTTTGCGACTATTAGGGAGGCGCTGAAGTACCATCGCGCGCCTCCCTACATTCGGGACGTGATCGGGGCCTATCTCGAAGACAGGTCTGTGCTATGCACGGGGCGGAACGGCGTTGTAGTGCCGAGGGAAATGCAACGCGGTGTTCCACAGGGGTCGGTTCTGGGCCCGATCCTGTGGAACATCGGGTATGATTGGAACCTGCGGGGCGCCCTTTTAACGGGCACTGACCTCGTGTGTTACGCGGATGACACCTTGGTCACTGCCCGGGGGCGGGACCTACGGGAGGCTACCCGCTTTGCCACGGCATGCGTGGCGCTGGTCGTCGGTCGTATAAGAAGGCTTGGGCTCCAGGTGGCGCTGGAGAAGACCGAGGTCCTGTGTTTTCATGGGCCTCGGCGTGCGCCACCTCCGGATGCCCAGCTGGTCGTCAGTGGCCAGAGGGTGGGGGTCAAGCCCTGTATTCGATACTTGGGGCTTGACCTGGACAGTCGTTGGAGCTTCCGCGCTCACTTCCGGAACCTGGTCCCTCGCCTTATGGCAGCCGCCGGCGCTCTTAGCTGGCTGCTGCCAAATGTGAGGGGCCCGGGAGAAGGTTCCCGCCGCCTATACCTCGGCGTGGTGCGGTCCATGGCCCTGTACGGGGCCCCCATCTGGGTGGGGGCCCTAGGTAGGGAAAATGTGGCCTGCCTCAACAGGCCACACAGGGTCATGGCCATACGGGCCATAAGAGGCTACCGCACCATATCCGGGGAAGCGGCGGGTCTGCTGGCGGGGTCTCCTCCGTGGGACTTGGTAGCGGAGCTCCATGCGTCAGTGTATCACTGGCGCGCGGAGCGACGTTCCATGGGGGAGGCACCCGCTGGCCACGAGATTGGAGCGCGGAGGTCCGACTTTCGGCGGATCCTCAGGATCAGGTGGAGAGAAAGGCTGGCCAGTCCATCGGCCGGCCTGAGGACCGTCGAGGCTGTCCGACCCATCCTCAAAAGGTGAATGAGTAGGCGATGGCCACTGACGTACCGCATGACACAGATATTGTCCGGGCACGGTTGCTTCGGGCGGTATCTGTGTCATGTGGCGAGGAAGGAGCCGACGACCGGCTGCCACGAGTGCGGAGGTGTTGAGGACACGGCGCAACACACGCTGGAAATATGTCCAGCGTTTGAGAGTGAGCGCCGTGTCCTCACACGAATAGTGGGGGACGATCTCTCGCTGCCGAATTTAGTTCGGAGGATGATCAGTAGCGAGAGATCGTGGCTGGCGGTGAGCTCCTTCTGCGAGGAAGTTATCTCGGGAAAGGAGGCGGCGGAAAGGTAGCGGGAGTTAGCTCGTCCCGCTTCCCTCCGCCGCAGAAGAGCCAGGTCTAGAGGTGGGAGCGTATCCAACTCCGTCCCCCTCTATCCCCCACTGGGGCCGGGGTGACTGCCTTGAGGGAGGCAGTCCCCCAATCCAAAGGCCCCGGAGTACAATCAATGAGGTACGCAACCCCACCAAAGGGAATTCCACCACAGCAGTAAGGGTATCCCCCACCCTCCTCCCTATACATGGAGTCATAACCCTCCTACAACTATCAAATAAATTTTTTTCTCCATCGCTACAAAATTTTGATTAGTGGAAAATCTCCCATGTGATATCCGTGATTGACGCAGTTATTGTTATTACACTGACATTTACTGTATTCGATACACAGAGTACTTTACTACTTTTCGCATACATTCCTCTGGTATACGTACTTTACTCTTTGATGTATTGATTGATTTTACTTTTAAAGAATACTTGCATATAGAGATGTGCTAACTCGTAATAAACATGACTCGAGTTACCTCAAGTTAAAGTTCAGGTAACTCGAGTTAACTCGAGTTGATTCGAGTTATAAATAAAAAGTTTATTTTTTATTTTTTCGAACAATTCTAATGTTTTTGGACGCAGCTAGCCTTGAAAGCTTCATCGAACTTTAGGGGGCGATTAGAAATGGCACTTTAAAGCCGCAGAAGGACTTATGGAATGGATAATCATTTTATTGATAACATAATCGGACGGATATGTGAAAAAAAAATGATCTCAAATCAATATTGAAATATTTGTGACGATTGAAAATTGTATGATATGGCATGATCACAAAATTTGATTTCATTGTCAGTTCGACGACAGAATCATGCTCTCGCTTTTTCACTTGATTCATTCATTTACCAGTTGAATTCTTCCAACTTGAGTTAGCAGAATTCAACTCGAGTTAACTCGAATTATGTGCAAACACGAGGTAACTCGAGTTGACACATCACTAAGTTGCATGTATCAAATAAAATCAATACTTGCAGGGTGGTGCAAGTAAGTGGTATAGAAATTATTGTACAGTAAATATATGTTTGTTAGTGTATTAACTTAATCTCAAAGTATCAATTGGTTATTCATTTGCAGGTTTAATTTCGCTACAAACCATCAAAACAATGGCATCATCTTCATTGGCGGATGTGCCTACAGTAGATATAGATCCATCTGGGGTATTTAAATATCTGCTGATTAAATTATATGATAGAAAACAAAGTGAAGAAAACTTTGTATACATTGTTCGCGGTTACTGCAGATGCATTTACCATTCAGACGTATATGTGGAGGTATATAAACTTAATTTGTTTCTCTACATTTGTCTCCTTTTTTTTCAACTCGAATTTTAAAAATATTGTTATCCAAAATACATCGTTATTATAATACTTATTAGCAAAATATAGTCACATGCTGTTGGATAGTGGGTGAAATCTTCCACTTGCCAAAACTACTTAGCAAACAAGTTGGCAATGGCAGCAGAAATATGTAATAAGGAGGTACTGTACACTAACAACTTTGCGGAGACCTTTGTAAATATAATAGAAAGAAACTTAATATAAACTCATTTGAATTGTCATAAAACATATATTTTTATATAATTTCATTACTACTTTGACATGTATAATTATTGTTTTTAATTTTAGGTACAAGAAAAACTGCATCCATTAGATTGTGACATAGTGGGCGGGGGTAGTATATCACATGAACCGAGTTTAAAGAAGATTCGCATCTATGGTCATGCACACGGCTATGGCAAAGCAGACCATGAAATAACAGCCAAACTTATCAAAGCTGCATTCCCTAACTATAAAATCACAATTAGTGATAAGGCATATTAAATGCAGTCATATTGTAAAATGTTATTAAATTTAATATTTTAGCTTTCATTGTTCTATTTAATAATCTATACTCATGGATGTATGTCATTTATTAGAAATGTGCAGTTAATGGAATTCTTAGATGTAACTTCACTGTTATGAGTAACATGTATACTATAACAGCCAATAAATATATCATTTGAATTTCAAATTGATTATTGTTTTATTTATTCATTCGTTAAGAACCATTTTCATGTAAATCTATATACTAAAAACATTATAATGTAGCATGGGAGACTTTTAATATTTATTTTATTCATATCATTTCATGTCTTCAATTTTACTAGACATAATGCTCTGGGGTCTGGGTTAATATATACAATTATTAATGCTGAGCCCCTTCAATGCGGTGTGTTGCTTTATTGAATTTTTTTTTATTTATAACGAAAACTATAAACACATATATTATCTAATGAAATGACATATTCTGTATTAGGTGGAACCTAGAAACAAAAAATGCCTTGCGTTATGTGTCACTATAATTATTATAATATTTATAAACCATAAAATTTTTCCCCACCCTCATCTTTTGCGCAGTAGTTGCAGGTTGTTCTACATGAAATAATAGATTTAAAGTAAAACAAGATCAACGTCGGTCTTTTTAACGGTTATTACCAAAATTTTAATAAATGGGGCGATGATTTGTGGTGGGGTATTACTTTTAGGTAATAGGATACGAAACGATCGGATGGAATCAACAACAAGAATAAGATTGCGACTACTTAAGCACAATTTAGAAGAAACGATGTTTTAATTTAAGAATATTTAATATGCAATGTCACAGCTTAGTTAACCTGGGTTTGACATTTTTTCAAATGAAAGTCAGAATTAAACGTGAGTGGTGTGAACCGACGGGGTGTGATAGTGAGGGGATGTCAGGGAAATTCTAGGTGTTAGTTTATTTAGATAGTTATTCAAAGTTTTAGACGGGAGTTATGATTTTTCGGACTTAGGCCGAAATTTAGGATGAAAATTGACAGAAATCCTACCTAGGTTTTACGCTACTAGACAGGGGATACTGTAGGCACCCTAGGACAATAAAAGTCTTGGGTGACAACTGAAGATAGTATGAAGGAACGACGGCTGAAACCAAAATTTGTAAATTTTTTGAAAAAATTCATACTAAATTACTGATTTCAGAACAATTTGGTGATCCAGAGAAACGACCTACAGGCAGGTGAGGGTGGTCACTAGCACTCTAAGACAACAGAAGTTTCTGAAGCAGACGACCTGGTGAGTATTGAACGATGAAATTGTATGTTTTATAGTAATTTTTAACGATTTGTACCAGAATTTTATTAAATGGGGCGATAATTTGCGATGATTACTCTTAGGTAATAAAATACGAAACTAGACCGGATGGAATCAACAACAAGAATAAGATTGCGACTACTTAGGCACAATTTAGAAGAAACGATGTTTTAATTTAAGAATATTTAATATGAAATGTTACCTCTTAGGTAACCTGGGTTTGATATTTTTTCAAAAAAACGTCAGAATTAAACGAGAGTGGCGTAAACCGACGAGGCGTAGTGGTGCGGGGATGTCAGGGAAATTCTAGGTGGGGGAGCAAAGTTTCAGACGGAACTTATGATTTTTTGGATTAGACCGAAATTTAGAATGAAAATTGACCGAAATCGGAACTAGGTTTTACGCTACTAGACGAGGGATACATAGGCACCCTAAGACAATAAAAGTCTTGGATGAAAACTGAAGATAGTATGAAAGAACGACGTCTGAAACCGAAATTTGTAAATTGTTTGAAAACTTTCAGACTAAATTACTGATTTCAGAACAACTTGGTGATCCAGAGAAACGACCTACAGGCAGGTGAGGGTGATCACTAGCACTCAGAAGACAACAGAAGTTTCTGAAGTAGACGACCTGGTGAGTATTGAACAATAAAATTGTATATTTTTTAGTAATTTTTAACGATTTTTAGCAGAATTTTACTAAATGATTTGCTATGATTTTTTTTTTTGTATTCTTTACTGCACTTTAAAAGAGTGTACAAGAGGTGACCTTAATGCCATATGGCGTTCTCTACCAGCTAACCTTTGGGTAGAACTAGAAAGCGTTGTAGGGCAGTAATGGCGAAAATTTGTGATATTAATACTGTAGTAAATAATTAGCTAAACAAAATCTATGTACATACATACTTTATATATATATATATATATATATATATATATATATACACATATATTGAAATATATAAATTACACAGAATAAATACATAAATACGCTAAATATAATTGAAAGTACCTACTTAACTCAACGCCAAACAGTTATAGCTCATTTTGACGACTCAACACGTAATTAAATAGTTTCCTTTTAAAAATGGTCTTACTCGGTGCTCTGCGCAGGTCTACAGGCATTGTATTCCAGAGGTTAATTACCGTAACTGTGAAGGAGTTTGACATAAAGCTTGTATGATGGGAAGGAGTAGAGAGAAGGAGGTTATGAACTGAACGGAGGTTACGTGAATGAGAGTCGCTAATGAACCGAAATTTATCTTTCAAATAAGTGGGAGAGAAAGAGTCGAATATGATGGAGAAGAGTGTGCAAAGGATACGCAAGTTTCTGCGGTTACGAATTGACAACCATTTAAGTTGTGAGCGAAATTTGAAGACGTGGTCATACTTTCTCAGCCCAAAAATGAACCGAATACAGTTGTTAAGTAATCGGTCCAACTTATTCATCTGATCTTGGGAGAGATTAGTAAGACACACGTCAGCATAATCAAAATGCGGAAGTATAAGTGATTGGACAAGGAGCAATTTAGTGGAAGGTGGGAGAAAGAATTTAAACCGATAAAGAACACGGAGAATACCTGTAACCCTGCGAGATACCTCCGCTGCCTGTAAATGCCATTGAAGTGTTGGGTCAATCAATATACCTAGGTCCTTAACGGAGTGATAAAACGGGATAACGTTATTTTCAAAACGCACATACGAATTGATTATATTTAACTTGAATAGAAGTTTTGTACTGCCTATTATTATCGCCTGGCATTTGACTGGGTTAACTGATATGCCAAAACGACGGGACCAGCGGGATACACTGTCGAGATCCGCATTTAGTTGATCAACTACTGCAGTGATGGCATTAGGTTCAGCTTGGACATAAAGTTGTAGGTCATCTGCGTAGAGGTGGTAAGAGAATTTGAGGTGTGAGATAACAAGATTAATAAAAAGAGAAAACAGAAGTGGAGAGAGAATACCGCCTTGTGGAACACCAGCGACCAAGTCACACCAGTTAGATAAGTCTTGCCCGGAGTGCACAGCCTGCTGGCGACCACGAAGATAGGAAGAAAACCATTCCAGTACTGACAGCGAGAAGTTTAGGTGGGAGAGTAACATCAGTAGCAGGTCATGATCAACACAATTAAAGGCATTGGAGAAGTCAATTAGTACCAAGATGGTAAGTCGAGTGTTCTCTATAGCCTCACGAAAATCTTCCGTTACATTGAGTAATGCAGTGGTGGTGCTGTGTCCAGGTCGAAAACCAGATTGGAAAGGACTCAGAATGTTTGAATTTGCAATAAAAGAGGAAACTTGCTTATGAGTAATAACCTCGAGGACTTTTGAGAGAAATGGCAAGATCGATATAGGTCTAAAATGACAAGGAAGAGAAGGATTTGAGATTTTACCAAGGGGTATAACAAATGCCTTTAGCCACAATTTGGGAAAACAGCCGTGGGATAGCGAGAAATTAACAATGTGAGTAAGAACAGGAAGAATCATATCTAATAGGAGAAATACCATAGTTCTACTCACTTCGTCATAGCCTTTGGCATTTGATTTAATGGATAGGACTGCTTTGCGTATATCGTCGTCAGATACTGGAGAAAATGTGAACGAGTCAGAAGCGAGTGCAGGCATGGATTTAATTTCCTGTAAGGTGGATTGTTTAATACTTGTATTGAGAGTTGTTACAGAGGAAAAGTGATTATTAAGATTATTTTACTTTGTCGTTAATGTCCGCAGTGTCATACAGCGGCTTCCAATCAAAAAGTGTAGCGTCCTGACAAAGTAAAGTTCTATCAATTCTGTTGAAATTACGCACGTTGACGATAATTGGCTTTGGCTTAACAGGCTTGATTTTGTAAGTTAGGAGTAGAAGGTCGTGACGTGAAAATGCTGGAGTGCTGTACTGATCATACTCGATAACATGATCGGTTGAGGATGTGCAGATGATGTCCAACCACGTATCATCCGTGTCAAAGTTGTGATGTGTTGGCCTTAACGGTAAAATTATGAAATCCGCGGAGTCGAATATGGATTTGAGCTTGCGAGACTCAGAAGAGTCCTTCAACAAATTGGTATTAAAATCGCCCATAATGATGACGTGTTTATAACATGTATTTATGTGATCAATGGCAGTATCAAGATCCAAGAAAAAATCTGTTGAAGGTGGGCAGTAAACAATACCGACAGCAACTTTCGTCCCTTTGAAGTCAACCTCTATAAATAATAATTCAGCCGTGCCTGCGAATTCCGAAGGTGAAGATAAAATTATTTTATAATTTATATTGCTACGCAGGTAAATAGCGACACCGCTGCCACCTTTACCTATACGGTCGTTCCTAATTAATTTTAATTTAATTTAAATTTATTTATTCAGATAACAGAGATCCAATTTGTTAGTAACAATTGTACTTAGCCTATGTTAGTATATCTAAAATTACATATTATCATTTAAGGGCCCCCGTAACAAGTTGGGTCCAAAAACAAAGTATTGGGCTGTCAAATTTATTGCACAGCATTTTTAGAATGCTGTTACTGCTGCCCCGCAGTCTGTGCAATAGAGAAGCGATCCGTTTGCGTCTGATGGCATACAGGTCGTCTGTTGATGCTCCTGCAAACATTGTGGATGCACTACAAAAGCGCGGAAAACGCAACAACATTCTGAAAACATTATTGTATTGAACTCGCAGAGCGCTGTATGCCTGCTGTGTA